GAGTTCTGGCATGGGCTGTTCCATGAGGTCATGAAGAGTGGGAAGCAACTGAATGAATAAACAGATAGCAAGAGAAGTCCTTTCATTGCAGTGTCTTCAAAACGCAGGGAATTCAGTTCTTGGATCAACATGCCTATTTATTTTATTTTAAGAAATATATATAAAATATTTTAAAATTAGATACAAATGGAATTTTTCTTACAAATTATTTTAGTTAAATAACCATTTGATGTGACTAACAATCTTTCATTTATTTGTATGTGTATATTTGTGTGCCTGCGTGCATATGTATGTATGTATAATCTTTGCAAACAGAACAGTGTCTCAGAAGCATGAAATAAGTGGGGAATGTGAAGAAGCAATTAACATTTCAGACCACAGCAGCTCTTAATGGTTTCTGAATTATAGCAGGCTCTGACTTCCAGCTAGAAGGGAATTAATTCACAAATACAGCTTCTGAGTTTTCTAATTCCCCTGCCCCCGTTGGTCACTGCAAATCACATCTGAATTACTGCACCCATCCAACCCTGAGATCCAACATAGCCCTATTGCATTACATCATTTGTGCAATTCAACGGCCTATGTAGAACTAATACATTTTCATCAAGAACTTGAAAAACTGAGTAGTACAGCTGCTACCTTAAACAGAACAAAGTGAGTTAGTTGCATTCATAAAATGTTGCAGGATTTTTGAGAGATATTAAGTGTGCTTTCTCTCAACATTTTTGGTGCAGGAGGTTCCCAAGGGGGCTCAGAGTACTCAACCTAGATTACACCAGTGTAGAGAGTGCATGAGCCAGCAAGGTGTAGTGGTTTGATGTTGGATTAGAAAACCAGGAGGCAAGATTTTGAATCCCTGCTCAGCCATGGAAACCTAGTGGATGACCTTGGGTGAGTCCTCTCAGACGAAGGCAAGGGCAAATCCATTCTGAAGAAATTCTGCCAAGAAAGCCCCATTGTAGGGTCTCTTTAGAATCAAAATTCTTCTGAAATAACTTGGAAGTCACCCAACAACATCAAGAATGCACACTAAAAAGTGGTTGTTCTTGGATTGTTGGTCCACTAGCCATTGGCCGGAGACCCCAGTGGTACAATGGGTTAAACCCTTTGTGCTGGCAGGACTGATCAATTGACAGGTTGGCAGTTTGAATCTGGGGAGAGGGGGTTGAGCTTCCTCTGTCAGCTCCAGCTTCTCATGCAGGGACATTAGAGAAACCTCCCACAACAATGGTAAAACATCAATCATCTGGGCATCCCCTGGGCAATGTCCTTGCAGACATCCAATTGTCTCATATCAGAAATTACTTGCCGTTTCCCAAGTTGCTTCTGACACGAAAAAAAGCCATTGACCACTGTTCTGTGGCAGGTTTCTGGGGAACCGCATACATATGATAACAGCATGGCATAAATATGGTACTGGTCCCTGGCAAACCTTGGGTCATTTCACACCACAAAAATCTGGCACTATGATTCTTGTAATGATCGTGGCTGAATCCTATGGAATACGAGAGTTTCCAGCTTGGTGTGGCACTGGAACCCTTTGAGAAGTCTAAATGCCCCTCACAAAGCTGCAAACCGCAGATTACCATTGGCTGCCACCAAGAAAATTAAAGGGGTATATTTATGTGGTGTAATAGATTATAGCTTGTTTTTTCCCACTCTTCCCTCTGTTCATCCTGGCTGACTTCTGTTCCAAAAACCTAAGATTTTTCACAAGTAGCCTGCTTCATGGGTTTGTTGTCAGACTGAATGGAACTGCCTTTCCATGTCCATGTCCAAGTGAGTAACTGTTGCTGAGCAGTTGCCAGAAAAGAAGATATGCACAATACCTTTGAGTCTGGTCCTGATGTGATTCAATCTGTTGTCAGTGGTCTTGGCCTGCTTACAGCAGCAGAGTCAACTGTCTTAACTTTTCTTTTGCCTGGTGAAGGATTTATAATGTAGGTCTTGTGTTGTTTTTACAACTTGAAAAAAATAGTATTTCACAGGAGGAATCTATTCCAACGCAGAACACCGATTTCCCTTTTTTGTGTCCCATGGTTCTTGAGAACATACATAAATCTGTACTCGGTAATATCCACATTGCTACAGAGAGAGGTAAAGTTATACCAAGAAATCTATAGTCCTCTCTGAAAGAGGCTATAGAGGCAAACCTTTGGTTTCTCCATAAGGTGAATGGTACAATAAACCAGTCGACAATGGGAAGGACATAAGCACAGTTTTCCCCATCCACCTTTCTCAGACGTAGGTGATTCGAAAAATGAAGTGCCTCAGTCCTTTTTGTTCACTGCTGTTCTCCTCTGATGATGTTGATACGTTCCCTCATTACAATCAATTCAAAGAGCCCTTTTCTGGTTTCACAGCTGTCCTCTGAGGTTCATGAAATGCTTTCTCCTTTCCTTCTGAGAATGAATGGCCTGCCTAGCAAAATGCAGCTGTCTGCAGTGGCTGCCTCATCACATCTATCCTAATGGGAGAAACCCCTTGTAACCTTCTACTCAACAGCGGTCTGCTCTTTTTTCCAGAAATCACAGGCATTTTCAGTTGTTATAGTAACAAGTCTCCTGCTGCTGGATTGGTCTTGAGTTATCTATTTAGTGCTTTTAAGCAAAGCAGTTCATCCTCACATAAATCCTCCAGCCCCCCCCCCCAAAAAAAAATATCACTTAAGATTGCTGTAATACCTTACAGAAAAGGGAATTTGAATACTTGCATGCACATATGTCAAAATTTACTGAATCTTCTTATGAAGTTTCAGGAAGTATGATACCTTCTTGAATACATTTTCTATGTTATTTTTTACTCTAGTTGCTTTTTTGAATAATAGTGTGGTTAATTTTCCTTCAATACAGGCAAAAACAGACAAATTGGACATGCAATAATTAAAATTACATTATATCAAGGAGCCCCCGGTGGCACAGTGGGTTAAACCACTGAGCTGCTGAACTTGCTAACCGAAAGGTTGCAGGTTCAAATCCGGGGAGCAGAGTGAGCTCCCACTGTTAGCCCCAGCTTCTGTCAGCCTAGCCGTTCGAAAACATGCAAATGTGAGTAGATCAATAGGTACTGCTCCAGCGGGAAGGTAATGGTGCTCCATGCAGTCATGCTGGCCGCATGACCTTGGAGGTGTCTACAGACAGTGTTGGCTCCTTGACCTAGAAATGGAGATGACCATTAACCCCCAGAGTTGGACATGATTGGACTTAACGTCAAGGGAAAACCTTTACCTTTACTTTAAACCATATGAATAAAGTCTACTATTGTTAACTAATTTGACAAAAGAGAAGGAAAACCAGTATAGAAAGTGGTTTTGCCTTGTTTTGCCAGAATAGGTCATGACCTATGCTTCTTGTGCAATCTTCAGTATCCTTTGAGAAGAGAGAATCTTCTCATAGATTATTCAATATGACTGATGAAATATTGAGCAGAGTATAATCTTTGCTGCTATTGTTCAAAGTCTGTAGAATATCATGTTCTACAGAATAATACAGTCTAAGTTTAGTAGCTAAAAAAAGATAGGGTATCATTTCAATTGGGATTTATAGAATTTTAAAAAGCATTGGCTTGAATATATGGCAGTTCAAAGGTCTTCTGAATCATAGAAGTATTTTTTGTAGAATGTATTACCGTAAATTATTATCTGCACTACCAGTATTTGTTTGACCATTGCTGGATCCTTGTAGAAGGCTATCTTAAAATAAGATGAAGCTGATTATAATGAAAACCAAAAGAAAACTCACCTCAACCATTATCCTGAGATAATAAACTGCTACTAAATCTAAGATCACTCATGACTTATGAAAAGGGAAGGTAGCAGGGGGGCACCAGTAATCATGAGCAATCCCACCCACTCTAGGACAAAGCTTCTCATCCATGGTACACTTAAGTAATCTGGATTTAGTTGTACAATAGGGTATGTGTTCTATGCACACAATAATAAGGAGACTTTCTTATTCTTTGGAGTAGGGTCTTAAACTTCTGCTCTAAAATTGTGTGCTGATGGCACCTCTACTCTTAAAACATTATACCCGGCTCTGATGTTTTTTAGAGCAATTGGCCAATATTCTCAATAAGCTATTTAATTACTCAGTTACTCAACGGCCTAAGTAGCAGAACAGTTTCAGATGGTCTTCCATATTCACAATCACTACTTAGTCACAATTGTGACACCATTACCACAATTGTAACTTTCCCCCTCACAGCCTAGTTTGCTAACCATCAGCTACATGGGGAGAAAGAGGTAAATTATTGAAGCAATCTGAGCACAGATGAATGACATTTCCATGAGATTTGGTGGTCAGGCCAGAAGTGATTACTTATGATAGAATCATGGAAGAGACCTCATGGGCCATCCAGTCCAATCTTCTGCCAAGAAGTGGGAACATCACATTCAAAGCACCCCCAACAGATGGCCATCCAGCCTCTGTTTAAAATCCTCCATAGAAGGAGACTCCACCACTTAGTTAAATATACTTTGCAAGGTAGCTAATGCAGAATACTGGCCATTATATTTCACGCCAGTGTACGTTTTGCAATCTGTCATTCGCTTTCAGCACCATTATTAAAGGTTCATTTCACTAAGCTTGAGGAAATGTATCCTGTTCTTGAGTGAATTGCCTTCTACTGGATCCAAGACATCCATTCAAGTATCTCCACTCAATGACACATATATCGGATAATTTGCATGACCCATTGTGAGATCTCCCATATTCATTCTAGATCCAGATCTCCTCAATTGAGGTGGGGTGGGGGGAAGTATGGCATGTTTCTGATCTCATTATGGATAGAGCCTAGAATGGGGTAAAAACGCAAGACCATAAGCCTTGTAGTGACAAAGAACTGTAGTTCTGGTTTTCAAAATATGACTAATAATGAAACAGAGTTGGGAAAACTCAGGACATCAATCCACATGGATAGAACTGTCTCCATTACTTAATTTGGGATATGCCAAAGAACCTCTGTTTACAAGATTTATATACTTTTTGTCTCTCTTTGTTTAGAGGGAGTAACAAAATAAAGTCCAAGGGCTTGACCCGCTATTTCCATGGAGTCTCTTCTTCTCAGGACAGAGGAAAGAAGGGGAACAGGTGAGGGTTGTTCAGATCAAATGGGTGGACATGTTACTAACCTTTGATTTGTTTATATCTATGAAATAGATTTGTAGCAAGTGCTTTGTTCTAAAATGCTGCTTATAGAGATGTAGATTTTTAAAAAGAAAATTAGTTTAGTGTGTCTAGCTGGCATATTAGATGTAGAAGTATCAAGCTATTAATAGGTTGCTCCAGTTTAGCTCCATTGCTTTCAATGTGGCATTATGTTTCAGAATATTTTAATAAGATGATATTTTGTTCAATGATTCTTGCTACTATAAGAGAACATTTCACCTACAACATTTTTATATTAAGGAAAGCTATTGAATAGTGGGGCTATGCAAAGCTATTGTTAGTCTTCATAAATCCTTAGTAATTTGTTAGATTCATGCAAACAAATCTCTATTAAGAAACATGCAGGAAAGGGGGAGAAAAAAAATAAGAATCGAAACACTGACCAATTTTTTTGTTAAGATTCTATAACATTTGGAAGCCTCCCGAAGTCAGTTTAATCTTCAATATAAGCATTACGCAACTTTGTCAAAGACAGAGGTCATTGCTAGTGGGTATTAAGACCCAGGCTGCTTGCCAGTTACCATAAGGAAGGGCAGTTGGGGTGGAACTAGTTGAGCTGCGCAGGAGGGTGAGAACACAGCATTCTGGGAAATGTAGTTTGGGAAATCAAGCCCCCCTGTGGCAGATAATGCCCTATACTCAATTTCCCTAAATGCAGTGCTCAGCATCAGTCAGTGTGGTATAGTGGTTTGAGTGTCGGACTAGGATCTGAATAATCTTCATGAAGGAGCTGGTCTATAGTTTTCCTTCATCCTTATCATGTGAATGCCCTGTTCTAACATCAGCAGAGGCATATACATGACCAGGCCAGTATCAGTGTTAGCAATTTCCTGATGTCACAGAGGAGATAAGAAGAACACCACCCCAGTGGAGCAGCTGGGCTCTCCAGCCATATAAACAAAAGCCTCAGATTCTGCATGACTGTGCCAGATGCAGGGCTGCCCCAATGTATATTTACACTAGGCTAAGCTCATTGATATACATATTTTTTCATGTCAGAAGCACCTTGAGAAACCTCATGTAGCTTCTGGTGTGAGAGAATTGGCCATCTGCAAGGACTTTGCCCAGAGGACACTTGGATGTTTGATGTTTCACCATCCTGGTGGGAGGCTTCTCTTATATCCCTGCCTGTGGAGCTGGAGCTGACAGAGGGAGCTCAAACCCTTCTACCCGGGTTCGAACCTCTGACCTGTTGGTCAGTAGTCCTTCCAGCACAAGGGTTTAACCCACTGCAACATCCAGGGATCCGGGGCTCCCTGGATTCCCAGGAAAGAGCACATTCCAGATGGAGAGACTCAATAAAGCAAGCTACAGCCTTAAGTCTACAAATCATGAACAAGACTCTTGGTGATGACTTGGAGGGCTCCCATTCATGAGGTCATCATAAGTTGGTCAACTTGAAAGCAGTAAACAGTAATAACATTTTCACCTTTTGCACCTCTCATACAAAACGGAAAATCCAAATGGCTTTAAAACATAATTGAAAACAGACAAACACAAGGTCATCCACCAATCACTGGGTTTGACCTCTAAACGTTTCTGCCAACATAAATTCATTCAAATGCATTTGCGAGGCATCCCAACCAAACAGAACATGTAAGAGGATGCAGGTGTAGAACAGAAATCAAATGCAGATGCACATAACTTTATTGATCAATGCTGAGTGGAAGCTTGTACCTCAGAGAAAAAGGGAAAGCTAGGTATACAGGCAACAGCTTTTAAAGACTGAACAAATAGATGAGATTTATATCATGCCCTGAGTGTCAGCACCTATCTGCTGTTCAAACCACTTTAGGTACCCACATGAGAAGGAATAAATGTTTACATTGCATTACATTTTCTGTAATGGATGACTCATCTAAATCTAACTGTATGAAAATAACATGTACCCATTTGTTTTAAAATAAATAATTTGGATTTTCTCATGAATTTATTTATTTATTTATTATTGTGATGTGTATCATCAGATCACATTTAACTGTGGTGACATTTAAATGAATATTGAAAACCTTTTTCTCAAGAAAACCAATTATACCTCCATTAGAATCAGTCCCTATTCAAAAGGAGAATTAAAATATTTTTAAAGGTGAATAAATAGTAATGATAAAATGATTCATTTTCTTAAAAGGTGGGAGATACAATTTCTGCTTTCAAAAGGAAAACATTATAATCAGGGGAATTTGCAAATTGAAATTAGCCTAGCTCTTCATTTTTATCATTAAATAGAGTATTTAATTAACATTTATAGTATTCAGGTTCCAAATTTAAATATAAAGTAGAAGATGGCTCGAGTCACACTATTGTTTACATGGAAAATACCTAAATTAAATATGCTGATGATAGGAATTAATTCTTTCCTACAGACACAAAGCATATTTTCTAAAAGAATGAGTGGGCATCTTTTGAAAGATAATGACATCTTTTTTCTTCATTTGCATACATATTAGTGCCTTTTTAAAGATATATTAATTCTATTCATTAGACCCTTGTAAATGTGTTTGGAACATCTGATAATAAACTTTGGGAATGAAGGACTTATTTTAAATGTGACATTTAATGTCACCAAACGGTCTCATACATAAAGCTAGCCTTGAATTTGTAAATCCCATCTGCATTTTCTGAAATGGTAATGATTGTGAACTCTTGTGATTAAGGACCTGGCACTAGTCTCCTGGTATCTTCTCAGAACAATTGGATGCTTCAGAGGCCATTTAATTCAGTGTGTTAAAAAAGCAATTGTTGTCTGGAAGGGGAGTGCTAGATCAAATCCTAATGGAAAAGATGGATATTTATTTGTGTCCTTGTTTGCTGGGTAAGTAGAGTGGACTACAATTTCTCAAATATAATCAGACCAACGAGTAATTAAGCTTGTTGGAAAATAAAATTGTAACCAACTAGATAACCATGATTTCCAGTAGTATATCACTGTCATATGTAGGCCCCTACATTGGCCCCTACATTGGCAGTCTTCAGAAAGAATTTGAAGACTTGGCTGTTCCGATGTGCCTTTTCAGATTAGGAACCCCCAGCACCAAGTCCTTGAAGCACTTTAGTAGAACCAGATCACTGCACACTGCACACTGTCCTTACTTTATAATCCTACATTCCTCCCGCCACATCAGCACTTTTAACCATGTACCCCTACCCTGGCCGGCCCAGTTTTAAATTGTGTCCCGTTGTATTGTTACTGTTATTGTTTTCTTGCTTAACTGTTTTTAATTTGCTTTATGTATTGTATTGTTTTATTGTGTTTTGGGGCTTCGGCCTGTGTAAGCCGCATCGAATCCCTTGGGAGATGCTAGCGGGGTACAAATAAAGTTAATAATAAATAATAAATAATATGTAGAACAGATCATATAGAAAGCCTGATAAGACTCGGGGCCCTTCCACATAGCCATATAACCCAGAATATCAAGGCAGAAATTTCTGCTTTGAACTAGGTTATCTGAGTCCACAGTGTTATATATTCCAGCTCAAAGCAGATAATGTGTGGATAATTCACCTGTGTGGAAGGGGCCTCAGAAGAAGATTTGAAAATTGGGAGAGGAAACAATAGTTTAAAATGTTACCAGAAAATACCAAAAATTAGAACAATTACTGATAAAGTTAAGAAATAAAAGTGTGAAACCCTGTCTATAGCCACCCTTTGACTTAGCACCTGAGAAAATAGACTGAGGACGTTGCCCCACTGCAGAATTAGACCTGTGTGATGCCAATTTACTGTCATGGCTCAAAGTTATGGATTCCTAGTTTTGTAAAACATTTACGTATCTTTGTCAGAGTATTCTGGTGAAAACTACAAATCTTAGGATGCCATAGGATAGAGTTATAGGTGTTAAAAGTCGTATCAAACTGGTATAATTTTGCAGTATGGGTGAGTGGTTAGTCTATTTTTTATCGTGTCAGAAGCAAATTGAGAACATACTGTGAGTCACTTCTGGTATGAAAGAATCAGCCGTCTACAGAACCAGATGTGTTATCATCCTGTAGGAGTTTTCTCTCATGTCCCCACATGGGAAGCTGGGGCTGACAGACAGAAGCTCACCCTGTCTTACATATTTGAACCACCAACCTTCAAATCATCAGTTCAGCCAGCACAAGGGTTTGCGCCACTGAGGCTCCTTGAGGTTAGTTTATGAGCTCTTATGATTACGATACAACTTTATTCTCTCAACTTAAGACTCAGAGGTGCTACAAGATCCTTGTACATGCTGAAGGATAAAAGTACCCTGCCCAAAATTTGCATCATTTTTCAGTTGCCTCAGTCATTTTTTTTTAAAAAAATTCTGAATAAAAATACTTAAAAAATAGATTGGCCAGGGGACTGAAACACTACATGATAATTCACCTATTATGACAGCTGATAAATGCCTGACACATGGTATTATGGATTTTCCACACTGTTGAGGTCCAGTTCACTTTTACATTTTGACAAGAATAAAGATCCTAGGTTCTTTAGTCTTGGCAAGATGTTTCTCTGTTTTAAGTGGGCTTTGGACCCAAGTGAGTGTCTGAAAGATGGTTTTCAGCTGCTTTTCACTGTGTTTTTATATCAATTAAAATCCTTTTTTAGACTGCCCTTTTGCTCACATTTGAGATAAGCAGATCCCTTACGGGCAGAGTTGCTTCATGCACACATCAGCGAATGATCAAACCCTGATATTTCCTTGAGAGCTCGTCTGTTTATTGTGTTTATCAGCATGTGTTTGCGCTTTCCAAATGGTTTTGGCATACTTCCTCCTTAGCTTTCTCTACCCATTCCTATCCAACACCAGGGCTGAACGATATAACCGATTTGGTGGTGAAAATAAGCAATAATGAGATGGCTGCTGATCATATCATGTGCATGAGAAAGCACAGAGTGTGTGGGTGGGCGTTTTGTTGCTGCCCCCTTTAAAAATTACAGTTTAATATCTCTTTAA